AGGTTCCGCTGTTCCACCTGATTACCGAAAGTATTTATTAATTCCTGTTCGAACTCTTCCCACGGTGGTGTGTATTCTCCTTGCGTTTTCCTGTATTGTACGTACCAGTATCGGGCGTGTCCCGTGAGTAGTCCAGCCGCGTATTCGGTTTTCCTTTCCTCAGTGTCTCTTACGTACTTGAAATAGGCATTCAATTGGTCAACCCATACTATAATTTTAAGTGTGTCTACTCCTCCCGCGAATGTTGGTGGTTCTTTTATTTTTAATTTGCCGTCCCCAACTTTGTCGTTTAATGGCGTTTCTTTTCTGGTTTCTTCAAGTTTTCTTATTGTCTCTTGCCAGAATGCTCGATACGCGTCTTCTTTTGCCTGCTGCGTTACTTCAAAATTGCTCCTTAGTCTTTCTAATTCTTCTTGTAATACTCGAATTCTGGTTTCGTTTGCGGCCCTTTCGTTTGCTACCACTTCTGCTCTTATAGCCCTTTCGTTTGCTACTGCGTCTGCTATTGCTGCTCGAATGTGGTCATGAAACTGAGCGACCCGTGACTCATTGTCGCCAAGGTTCATTTCCGTTGTTTGGTTTGCTAAAATTTGGTCTTCTGACATTACTTTCTTGTTCCGTTTAACAGGTGAACTATCTTGCTATCTCTTCTCTAATATCTGCTTGGTTTTCTCTGGCGAAGCTACCAACTGTAAACGTCTGACTCTTTGTGATGTGAAAACCTGCACACAAAAGTGAGACGTTGAGAATTAATAAAAGAATTAAGTCTGAGTGTATCAAAAGAAAAAGTAATCGTTTAAATAGTTTAGAATTCTAGGGTTATTCCCTTTGTTCTTTGTTCTTGTGCATAATCATGCATTATCTTCATTGTTCGTTTTATTCTCATTGTTCTCATAATCGGCCATGATGTCATATCAACTGTTCCTGCGTATTGCCCGCTGTATTACCTACGAAGGTAGGGGCACATCCTTATATCACTCCCCCCTCCTTGTAACTACGTCCCCGAAGTTGCTAATTTCATGAAGTGCTTCTGCGTCTACCCACGTTGCGTCGCTTACCGGTTGATTTTCCCATTGAATTAAGTATTGAATGCCATCTGGTGTATGTGCTTGTTGTAATAGTCTTTGTACCTGTCCGCGTCTGTAAAAGTTTTCATTTTCTTCTCGTTGATATCGATTGTTGTCGATTGCCAATGTTGCTCTTGTCGTCAGCGAGGTTGGTTGTTGAGGTCTGCTTGTATCTGCTTTCTTTAAATAACTTGCGTGAAAAACGTTGTGTGCCCTGGTATGTCTTAATTCCACTCGATATGCTGTGCTCCATTTGTCTAATACCCTGAACGGTCCTATCCATACGCTGTCTGTTCTAAGTCGGTACATTGATGGTATCCCACTATGATGAATGTAAACCATGTCCCCAATATTGATATTTTCTTCCCGTCTCGATTGATTTGTATAATTTGAATTGTAGTCCTTAATCCTCCTTAAATTGTCCTTTGCCTTAGTTGTCATGCTTTTTACTATTGATGCGAACCCGTTAGCTGATGGTGTTTGTGTTGCGTGTGTAATTGTGCCTGGTCTGTTTACATTTTGTCCATATTCGAAAAAGAATGGTCTAATTCCTGTTGAAGAATGTTTCGAGTCATTATAACTGAATTCTGCCAATGGTAATAATGTGTCCCAATTTGTTTGTTGATTGTTTGTGTATGTAAAAAAAAAGATTTTTTATATTATATACGTATCGTTTTACATGCATATGTTTTTAAATATTTTATATCTATTTAGCTATTTTCTATCTTTATATATCTTAATTTTATGTATTTGAGAGAACATTTTATTTAAATGTGAGGTAATTCCTCAAACAGTTTATGTATTTAAGTTGTTGGCCGTTAAGCCCCTCCGCAATTGGCTTCCCAGCATTGCGGACTTATACTTTGAATCCAACCATCTTCACTCTCCGTCAAAGTCCCAGTTGACACCCATTCACCATTGTTTTGAAAACAGACGCAGGAACCAGCTTTATCAACATAGCCCATATCGTATCCGACATCATCGACCAGTTTCCCAAACCGTTAGTGTCTTGGTATTTACCCCCAACATCAGCTTCAACGCCATACATAGCATCTTGGCCGTAATGGTTGTAGGTATATTCCCACCAGTGACTGTCATCTTCATTGATTTCTACTACTACTCCGTCTTCACCTACGTAGTAACTAGTATCTCTTCCGCCCAAACCACGTTTAACCTCGCTACCTTGGTGACCCGTCAATTCATATACACCAGTCTCCAACTTAACCCCGAAAGACACATCAGTTGTATTTTCAATACCCCGCTTGTTGACAACACCTGATGTATATTTACCTCTATAAGAACCAATGATTCCCGAATCAGAAACCAAATCACCAGTTTCGGAATATTGGTCTGACCCTCTTCTTGAAACATCTGCATTGGAATGAGGTAATGCTACCATATTCTTAAAGCTCTTTAGACCTGGGTTTTCATTTTTCCTACGAACATAAGCAGACGGCACGTATTCCGACAACCATATTGCAGCTTCATCCAATCTGATCTGTTCAGCCGCCACTCTTGCAGCCGCTTTACTAACTTGCGCACCAGCGTACCAATGAACTCCTCCTGCCAGAGGTGCAATAGCCCCTACTATTCCACAAGCTATTTTTCCATTCACATTCAGTTTTCCTGCAGCGGTAGCTATTGTACAACCGGCACTGGCTAAACCTCCTACTATCTCTAAGACTTTGCATGCAACTATTGTTGCTCCCCAAGTCCAAACAAAACGCTCTCCTATTTTATGTTTCTGTAAAACAAAATTCGACAAATCGTATTTAGGGGTTGTGATAAAATCACCGGTATCCAAATTATAAAACTTGGTATAATCGGTTAAGCTAAGACCTGGTTCTGCTTGGCCAGCAACTGAGCCAAATAACGCAAATAATAGAGTAAAAACCACTGCACCACAGCACAGAGGTTTAAGAGGAACATTAAGAAAATGCCTTCTGAGCCTATTATTCTTTGAAAGAATATAATCTTCACTACGAATGACCAACATAATGCTGAACTTAAAGTGACAAAGATATAAAAGGCGGTAAGCAAGGAATCTATATCTATAATACTTTTGGGGATGGTATTGAAATTCAACTTGTTCCAATTGGTTGCGATATAACAACTTTAAACTTGAGTTGAGAAAAGCTGTTTATAGAGAATTTTTTTTTTTTTTTTTTTTTAGTCATCGACGTGACCATACATCTTACCGTTATTTCTTTCTACAAATTTTTTATCAACGAAATCTGCGCTAGCTCCCGTGTCTAGCAGTCCTCTTCTTTCTTCTCCATATGTTCTGACTGGTACTGTGATCATTTTGTCTTCTGGAGTGTCCACGTCTATTCCGGTGAGATTTACTTGCTTGGTTCTTCCTGTGTGTGGACATTGGCGACTTATATGGCCCATTTGTCTGCAATTATAACACTGTATTTTACTCATTCTACCAGTCTTGGTTGTGTTGAGGTCCATAGGGACCGCTTCATCAAACTTCCGTTGTTGTGGTGGTGGAATGAAAAACCCGAAGTTTGGTGTTCCGAATTTCTTTTGTGAATTTGTATGGTTTCTACCAGTGGTCTTCTCGTAGTCTAATGCGTGTTGGTGGGCTTCTCCCAAGGTCTTTGGTAGTTTTCCCATTACATATTCCTTTTCTCTTGGTTTGAGGGCTCTCGTGAAGTTGTGGATTTCAAAACTTTCCGACATGTAGAGATCGTGTGGTAATATTACGCGCAACTCTGTACGCTTTTGAATGAAATCTTCGACGGACCCTGTCTGTCTCATGTCCATATAGTACTGGCCGAGGTTCCGCTGTTCCACCTGATTACCGAAAGTATTTATTAATTCCTGTTCGAACTCTTCCCACGGTGGTGTGTATTCTCCTTGCGTTTTCCTGTATTGTACGTACCAGTATCGGGCGTGTCCCGTGAGTAGTCCAGCCGCGTATTCGGTTTTCCTTTCCTCAGTGTCTCTTACGTACTTGAAATAGGCATTCAATTGGTCAACCCATACTATAATTTTAAGTGTGTCTACTCCTCCCGCGAATGTTGGTGGTTCTTTTATTTTTAATTTGCCGTCCCCAACTTTGTCGTTTAATGGCGTTTCTTTTCTGGTTTCTTCAAGTTTTCTTATTGTCTCTTGCCAGAATGCTCGATACGCGTCTTCTTTTGCCTGCTGCGTTACTTCAAAATTGCTCCTTAGTCTTTCTAATTCTTCTTGTAATACTCGAATTCTGGTTTCGTTTGCGGCCCTTTCGTTTGCTACCACTTCTGCTCTTATAGCCCTTTCGTTTGCTACTGCGTCTGCTATTGCTGCTCGAAT